CAATGTAAATAGTGTCTTATATATATATATATATATATCACAATCCATAACACAGCAAAATATACTGCTAATTTATGATGTTTTTTGATGGAGAAATGACACTGATTGGGGACTAACCATGAAACCTAATTATGCAGTTAAAGAAAGGGTTAACAGTCCTGAACCTGCATTTTGCAAAAATTTTTGGCTTTTCTTCTGGACATTAATATACCTTAATACCATAATGACAAACAACATGAACATTGTTTTAGAAAATGTTGACAAAACTATAATCGTATCAATCAAATCTGTTATAATGCTTTTTTTTTAGTAAAGTTATATACATTTCTTAAATAGTTGAAAGATTTGAGAAAATTATATAATTTTCAAATTACCTCTAAACTTGCATAGCCTTGCCTTGGCCTAAAATGACCTAAACTTTTGATTTAGAGCAAACTCAAATCATGACAGTAGTCCAAATAAACTTTTTTTATTATCTAAGTTAATGCAACTTGTGTATAGATTTTCATTAATAAATCTTCTTGTTTGGGATAAAAACCAATAATTTTCATTAAAAGAAAATGGCACAGTTATAGTACACAGGTATTTCCAGGAAGAAATTCATAAATAATTATTTTTATTTCTCTCTTTTTCACCTTTACTAGGAAAACTGGTGACTATTAGCTGTCTGTCATAAAGAAATATTTATGAAATGTATCTAACATTAGCATAATTAGTTGTTTTAGGAAAGCATCATGTGAAACTACTTTTATAGAAGTGTGGATACTTTTTAAATCAAAATATGCACATTTATCCAGTAAACTGTGTATGTAGCTTTTAGTATAGTTGCTAATGCTGGTTTTGTAAAAAAAAGTATCCAGACAACATTCAAAAGGTTACTACAATTTTAGAAACCTGCATGTGAAACACAGATACACGTGTAGAACTTACAATAACAAAATGTAGAAATTGTTTGTATACATTTCACTTTCTTCTCGTAGATCTAATTAATCGACATAGTTTTTACCTGTGGAGTTCACGATAATCCTACTACAAGAAGACTGGCCTCTATGATAACCAAGATACACAGTATTTTGTTGATCAGACCCATCACACAATACCCAAACAACTGAAGATAAGAAATGGGAAGGCAACTCTTTTCTCAAAGCAGCTCTACAGTATTGATTCAGAAGATATCTGAAAAATATGGGTTTAAATGTATTAAAAAATTATAGTACATTAAAATTCAGTTAAAAAATTATAAAAGAGAACCTCTAAAGCATTATATATTTTTTATCATTATTCTGAAGTAAATTTAAAACTCAGTCCCTTGTTTCCTCTGGCCCAGACTATGAACAGGCTAAAAATGGAAAGATGTACATGTATAGTGTGAAGCTTGAAAAACAAAAATGGAGATTTTCATATTCATAAACTAAAAAGATTAGGATTCTTTGCTGTTGTTTAATTAAGAAATAAATAACAAGTCTTAAACATGGAACTGAACCTCAACTTGAGAGGAGATTTGTTTTGATTTTAAGTCTAAAGCTGCACAATAGCCAACCAAAGTCATTATTACACATTAGAGTAGATAAAACTGAATCTCAATTACAATTGCTTAACTTCTTTTAATTAAATTTCTTACCCTGTAGTCCTTTTAAGTTCACAAAAATGTTGCAATAGAAATAAATTAATAGTACCTATGTATAATTTACAAATAACTTAAATACAGAATTTTCTTACTGATGAACCAAATACACGTGATACCTCTCATTTCTAATGGCGAATAACTTTTCTGACTTGAATTCAATCACTCACTACTTCACTGACTGACTCATTCATTCATTATTCATACTTATATTGTATTTTTGTTGCATATCACAGAATAAAAATTTTACAAAATGTCCTGTTTATTGCTCTAAATGTAGCGTACACTGGTATGTGTTACATTACAATGTTTTGTTTATTACTGAAGAACAGGTATTACAATGCCGCATTGGTTTGTGTATGTGTGAATGTTACGTATATATGTTTATATATACACAGTCTGGTTTTTATTTACAGAACACACAACTAAGAAATTGAACATTTACTCTATACTATCATGAGTTTTAACCAATTCTTTTACTCTGTAGAGCTATGTATGTTTATGACATTTAAGTTTTCATAACCACCTACAATGTTACTGGATAACAAACACTATCTCTTTTTTGTGAACTAATGCAAAAAGTATTTCCAGAACTGCATCATCTACTTCACAATTAATTTCTAATAACTCCAAAGACATTAAACCTTCTAACACTTTTACAAAGTTATTTAAGATTTTTAGCACTAATATAAATATACAAAATGCTACTTTGTTTAAAAACCAAGATCTGTTTTACAATTATCACATTAAAAGTAAATAACATTTGTTTAACAAATGTCATCTGAAATTATGTCACTCCCATCCAAATCTGGTCAAAATATTACATAATGAAGCAATTTATGGATTAGAAAATGCTCATCTAATCTGTTGAAATGCAACTCAACTCAAACAAAACTCTAAAATTAATTCTTAGATATTGCAGCTAACTTTCAATTAAACTCTCAGTCAGCCCTGGCCTTCTATTCTCATGTTCCTTTTGTTTCTGTTTTATTCTAAGATCTGTATTTCATTTCAGAATCCAAATTTTTTTTCAACACCAAGTTTTTCCATAACTATTCAGCCTTATTCTAATCTCTATGTTCTTGTTCTTTTTTTCAACAACTTGTTAGTCCTAAACTTAATGCAACCAAACCATGAAAAACAAAACCTGACACAAAAGTAGGCCTAACTCTTAAGTCTTGCATACTTACTTTTCCCAAGGATGGATAATGCAACCAAACCATGAAAAACAAAACCTGACACAAAAGTAGGCCTAACTCTTAAGTCTTGCATACTTACTTTTCCCAAGGATGGATATTCAAGGGCAGTTGAAGGACCATATGGTCCATTGTTTTTGTATGTTATGTTAAATAACTAGAAACAGTAACTTACAAACCATCAAACTTAAATTTTTAGAAGTACTACTACTACTAAAACTAACCCCTGACAAAACATGCTATATTTAGCCAATTTTTAATTTAAATACCATGATATAATAGGAAGATTAAGTCAGAAAGTAGTGTGTATTACTTCTATAAACCCTGAAAAAAATAGTTTAAAAGTTCCCTGAGCAAGAAATGAAATTTAAACAAATATTGTGAATTTTTATTTTTCCTCATTAAAATGTGCAACTTAAGTGAAGTAAAGAAAGAAAGAATCAACAAATGACCTAAAGGCCTAATCTATCCTTTGTTTTGCTAGTAAACTAGTTTCACTGAATTTGCATCTAATCAGTGCTACTTGGGAGAGCACAACACAGAAGTACAGCAAGCCTCTTAGTGATGGTATGCAAACAATTTGTACAGTTTTTCTATAACCAAATATACAGATAATGTATCATTAGAGAAGTTTGAAAAAAAATTATATCTTGGTTAGTTTTCTCTGAAATTATGCATTTCAGTGAGGAAAAGAAAAAGTAACAATTAATTTACTAATTGGACTGTCAATTAATTAAGAATAGTTATTTGTGGAAGAATAATATCATATAGATCCTGAAGTATTTTAGGTTATTAGTGATGAATAAAGGACTTTAAAAGTAAACCCTAAACAATATTACTATTTTATGAATTTAAATCTAAATATATGCTCTCAAAATATTAAAAACATACAAAAAATTCACATGTTAGTACACATCTTAAATTCTATTCATGGTAAAGACAGCTGGTAAAAAAAAAAGAAACTTTCCTTTCAAGACACATCTTTTTTGTCACATTTACTCATTACTATTGTCTAAAAATGTGTATGTACTATAATTCTCAATCAAACAACCTAGCTTCTGATGGATCAAGAGGTTTGTATTTCACATTCTTCTGGTTTGTATTAGGAGAGACAGCAAGAGTGTTCTCTTCATCATTATCACCATCATGATAACTACTTTTATTCAAGTCAAAAGGGCATTCAAGTGGACATCCAGTTAGGTCTAGTTCACTTTCAAAATTATCTGAAGATGAACTTGTCAGCTCTGCAGACTTATAGGCACCTGAAGAGTTTTTTTCTTGCAGAGAATTTTTGTTTCATCCTGTTTAATGAAACAGATTTCTCAAATTAATAAATTATTTTTAATGTTACTAAATAAAAACACTGATACAAAAAAAATTTATGTAAATCAAAGAAAGAAATATTATTTAGTGTTTGAAAATGTTGAACCATACATTCAGAAAACATACCCTTTAAAAAAACAAAAATATTTGAATGGGGAAAAGAAATAACATATAAGCATTAGAAGAGCATTTTAATAAACAGAGTTCTCATTTATCATAAATATGTACTTAATCTAAAACATAGAAACATTAAGCACAATTCCAAAACAATTACTAACACTTTTAAACACTGAACATCTTAAAGAAAACTCAAACTAGTTTTTAAATATTAACACTGTGGTTTAAAAGGATTGATAATTTTTAAAATTATTATTGCATTTGTTACGCCTCCGTTCGTTAGTAAATTTTCCGTATAATTTATTTCTGAAGAAACTTTAGCGATACAAGTCCTTTCTTAAATAAAG